TATCTTTAACTGGTAGGAAAAAAAATCCTTGAAATCATTTGAAAATCAATTTGTTTGCGCCACTGATATCTTCGAGCACACTGTGATTAGACTTGATCCATGAAGTTTTCTAAACAAAAAGAATTAGTTGTGACTATAATATCCTCCAGACTTTTCTGCTACAAATGAATGATTATTGTTTCAAACACGTATACACGTGTCTCTGCAGGAGGGCAGAACGGCTTCAACATCCCCCAGGTGTCTCCCTGTCCAGAGGTGGAGGCCTACCTGAAGATGACCCCAGAGGAGCTGCATGCGCTGGACCCCAAGAGCATCCAGGGCCAGGCCCGACGCCTGCTGTGTGACGCCTACATGTGCATGTACCAGAGCCCGACCATGAGCCTGTACAAGTAGAAACCTCTTCCCCAAAAAACCCAAATCCTCCATTCCTGGCCCTCAGCCACACCAACTCCCCTTCCCCCCAGGGCAGGAGATTCCCAGAAAGACCAAAAAATACAAAAATAAACTGAAAGAAGAAAGGCTGCCTGCCAGCAGGGGTGCTGTCTGGAGTTAACCCTCTCCACCCCACCTTTCCTCAATGCCTGCCAATCTCCGGAAGTTGTGGAGATGCAAGAAAGGGGGGAGAAGCCTATTTGCACTGTGCATTAGTTCAAATGTCGTGTTCTTCATGTAGTCCTATGTAGCTTCCCTGTGTCTCACAGCTGAGCGTTGGTGGCGGATGATGAAGCAGGCTTTATGAAGATTCCCTCCCTTTTCTGGGAGGAATGAGGAGAGGGGGGGGCATGTTTGCGACGTCGTGGCCGACAAAACATGCAACAAAAACAAGAGACCTCGTTTACCTTAAGAAAATAGGAGTCCTGCTTTTCTTAATCACTGTAAGAGACGGGAGACGCCACGTTCAGGAAGCAGATCAGCGCACAAACCCTCGTCCAGCTTGTGTGTACTGTCAGAAACACTTGTGTAAACTCTCTCAGTAGCATATATTTCTCCAGGTAGTAAAATCATCAGTGTAGAATCTACTGTGCAGTTGCATTAAGACCATTATGCTCTTCGTAAAACAGTTTACATATTTCTCCATCACACTGTGTACCTGTTTTGCAAAAACAGATGTAGCCATTGTAAAAGTCTCATGTCATTACTGCATATATATTATATTATATTATATTCGTACTCAACCAATGCTGCACTTTTGTTCTATCCCCAAGTGGACTTATAGGAAACATTTAGGTTTTTGCTCTTTATTTTTTGCTCTCCCACTGGAAGTGGCAGCGAGTGCAAATTTGTTGTTGGGGAGACATCAGAGATTTGTGTTACAGAATACAAATGCGCTTCTCCTCTGTAGCTGTAAAGAATGGGCTGCATTGCTAATGCAGAGTAGATGCCAGATAAATGCATGAAGGGAGACTTGTACAATGGCTCCTGTTGTAAAGCTCAGCCGGTGGAGCACTCCATGCGTTCGTAGGGTCAATGAGGTGAAATACTGGAAGTAAGAGTGTATGTGTGTGTGTGTGTGTGTGTGTGTATGTCGTGAAGAATTTCACATGCAGTGTTTTTAGTCTCGTTGAGTTGACGACTAAATCTAAATTATATTTTATGTTCGTGAAGCCTTTTCTCTGCCTGTCATGGTGGCTCTGACTTCCTGCGGGTGAAATGTCGACTCGCTGCCTTTTCATGAAGATGCGACATGTTTCCAGCCATGCGCCAGATAACTAAAGAACTCTGTTCAGATATTATTATTTATTATATTCTAATCATATTACAGAACTCATGTTGTCCCTTTTTAAAAAAAACAACACAGGGGTTATAGACACTGTAAGGTTCAGGTACTCCTTGTCCTCTTTCACTGTATATTGAAGTGAGTTTTTGTAGTTTACGCTGTCTCATAGCAACTACTGAATGTTAATAGTGAAACGTTGAACAGTGTAGCGTTGACAGAGGATGGCAAATGAAGTGGCACGAGGCTGGTAACCTTGGGTCTCCATGTGTATGTATTTAAAGAATTAAAAATGAAAAGCTTGATCCATTGTATCCCAGTTTTACAGAATATATACGTAAATTAACTATACCATGAGATATGAAGTAGTTGTTTTTTTTTCAAAAATCCCACAAAATTGGATCAAACCGATTAATCCGCCACAGGTGTTGGCATCAGCATTACTTGCATTTGCTCAAAGTCACAACTTAATCATGGACTCAGTTGTGAGCGTAAGAAAATTAAATAAAGGGTTTTTATAAATTGTGTTCCAGCTGACAACTTCCATGTAGTTGTTAGTTTCCACTGTCCCAGGGATTCAGACAGAGGACCTTGTTTTGTGCACTGCTGAAGCTCGTCGCTGACTGGAGCCTTGTTTTCTGTGAGAGACGTCTCGGAGCAGAGGATTTAGATTTTTCTGTTGCATCTGTACAGTATAGGCATACAGTATGTAACGGGTGGGAAATTAATGTCAGTGATGTTCCTGTAAATGTTAACAAAATAAAGCCCATTTTGAAGGGTAAGCAGCATGTTTTGTGTATTTCTCCCAGCAAAATACTGTCAACAGTTTCCCTTACACAATACATGGCCCCAGAAAGGCCACCATGCAGAGAGGGTAGTAAATCTTATGATCCTAATGATCTGTGAGTGGTGGTTTGAACTGTTGTACACAATCGATAATTAGTATTGCTATCAAAACAAACATTGACATGTTGGAGTCATTGCAAAATAGAAACGGACCATTTTCTATAATTTATCTCTTTAACATGAACTCACTGTTCAA